CATTATTGTCTTCACCAAAACCATCACTATTATCATCAACAACCAATCCTTTAACATGTTCTACTCCTTATTTAGATGTATCTATATCTTCAAGAATGAACTTAGCATCAAAGGCACTTATCACTAAATAATCTTCTAAAAGTGGCTTAAAATCATCAACTCCTACACTACGGACTCCACTATCAGGTTTGTAACTTAGTTATTCTACACTTTGGAAGTTACAATCAACATGGTAACTTGGCACTGGTTCTTGAGCTTCAACTTCATCTTTATCAACTAGTTCCTCAACATTGTTGAAATTAACCTTGCATACTCTTTCTTGAGCTTTGAGTTCATATTCATCGACCAATCCCTCAACATTGTCTAAATTACCCTCGGATACTCCTTCTTGAGCTTTAACTTTATCTTCATGATTGAACTCATCATTACATGACTTTATTGGTTAGCCTGTGACACTCTATATAGTACAATAGACTTGAATAATTATGGACTTCATACACATCTATTACTTGTGACTGCTCGACTGGATACTTGAGAGGTTCAGCTAAATCAAGCTTCTTACTACATGAACATGCTTCTCTTTTATCAAGTTCCCTTTTTATTTAGTTCTAGTGACACAATGTCATGTTCCAACTCCTCAATCACAACTTTACAGGGAGAGTTAAAATAAATAAGTACTATGTTATGTTCATTTTCAATGCACAACCTTATAAGTCTATGTTTAGGGACATATGTAACCATTTTAAGTACATCTTGGTCATTATTTAAAGAAATTAAGCCATAGTCTAAGGAGTATTTAGGGATACATATATAGTAGTACAAGGTTTGCTCATTTTGATACCTTAAAAAACCTCACCGAGTATAGAACCATACCGTATTCAGCTAGCAAGTCCCATATTCTTGAAGTCTTTCACGCTAAGTCCATATTGTAAGGACCATTGTTGATTCCTTATCACTAAACCTAAGCTTAAATTGTGTCTCTTAATCAGAAGTTATGAGGACGAAGATGAAGTGTGGGTTTCTTAGGAAAGGGATGAAGAATGTTGACGTGAAGAGATGATGAAATCCGTTCATGCATAATCATTTTCCATATTTAATTATAATTATTTTTCATATTTAATTATAGGTCACAAGTGAAATGACACATTTGCTCTCACCTAATTTGCAAGTGACGGGACTTAACAGATAAAAAATGATGGAGTACGTCAAAAAAATTATCTATAAAAAGTTTCTAAATAACAGACACCGTCTTTAAAGAAAAAAAATTAAAGACTAAAATCTAGATTTTAAAAAACCATAAAGATCATTTACAAAGTTTTGTCTAAGAATTTGTGAATATAACATTTTTCTATATAAATGGTCAATATGGTGATGTGTATTGAATGGACCTACCTTTCATTAGTGACCAGAGTGCCCATGTTTCTTTTATCATTGAATTTTGTCATGTTTTTAATATTCAGGGTATGTGGATGGGGCAACATCGTCCACGTTTCTTCTTACTATTGGTTGAAATTTTGACTAAATCTACAAATGGCCCAGAACTACCTGCCAATCTGCCATACCTTTTCTCATATGATTCGGACTTTTAAAAATGTTGGGTGTTAATGTGTTAGACCTTCTATATTGGTCTTTCCAATTTCTTGTAACGAGTTTTGAAAATTGTTTTTTTGAAAAAAATCTTTTCAAACCTCTTACTGCTGCGCGGCGCGCGCACACGCACATCATTTTTCATATCGAAGTTGTTTGTTTTTTAGAAGTCTTTTGAGTCAAAAACCTCTGTGAAGGCTCTGTTTGGACTTGTACTGTCTCTTCTAACCTCTTCCAACATCTTCTTCTTCTTTTTTTATTGCTGAAATTTTGATAATATGTTATTAAAATTTTATTTCACATTTTTTTTCGTTTATTCTTATTGAATTTATTTTTCATTTTTTTATATTCAATAATGATATTTTCTTGATGAAATATCATTATTTTTTACTAAAATATCTTTATTTTTTGTTGAAATATCATTCTTTTTTACTGAAATATCATTAATTTTTACCGAAATGTTATACATTATTAAATTTTACGTATTAAAAAGTTATTTTCGGTTTATAAAATTAGTTTATTTTAATTTTTTAATATCTGCAGCAGTATGCAGATGTTAAAAAAACAAACACGCTTCTTATTATAGTCTGCAGCCGTTTGGTCCACCTCTTCTACTGCAGAGGGTTGCAGAGGTGGTCCGCAGACTTCATAAATTTTTGCTTCAGAAAATCAAACAGCACCTTAGAGGACTTGTGAATTAATCATGGTCTTCTTTATCGTTATAAAGAAATTATTAGTATGGTTAATATCCTTTAGCTAGCTTTTTAATTTATTTGTTATATTAATAGACTATCATATAAATATATTCATGTATCATAAATTATGTAATTAAAATTTTAGTGAATAGATATATATGACAAATAATCAATACACTTGTTAAAAAAAATATAAATTATTTGTTGACGTGTTAGTATTATCATCATTAAAGGAATACCTGGTATAGAAGCAAGTAAGCAACTATAAAATTGATGTGATGCATTGGAAATATCAATGATCGTAAATTTAACTCGGTATTAATATATGCTTTATTTTTGTATGTAACTGGGTATTGATGAAATAAAGATTTAGTTAATGAAATGATCGAAATTATTTAATAATTAAGTATTTTGTATAACAAGTTTTTTTTTAGAAATCAAATTTAACATATTTATTACTTCATGAATAAAATTTGTTGCTTTGTCTCTGTCCAACCAATTTTGACTAGTCACTCAAGCTAAGCAACGTTTTTTTTTTGACACATCTAATTAATTTTATAAATCTACTTATGTGTATTCATTGAGAGATGTTGATATCGAGTGTTTAATGCAACATTCGAATGAGACGGATTGTATTATTTAAATAAGTTTCTATAAAGAGTAGTTTAGGAGTAGGTTAAATTTATCGTTTTATTTTTTTTTTTATTATTATTTTTTTTTGTATAATCTCACATATTTGATTAATACCTTCAAACAGTAGTGAAGTTAAAAAAAATCTTGGATATGATTTGAAACTTCATAAATTGATGAAATAAATTGAATAAGGATAATTTAAATTTAATTAATATATTATAGAAAAATTCATAAACATGTATATTCCTTATACACTAGAAACAGGATAATGATGTCTACAAACTCTAATCTGATTTCATGTGATGCACTCTATATAGAATGGAATGGTCGGTCAAAAAAAAAAAAAAAAAAAACAGAACAATTATTCAAGAAAAATCTATCCCTACGAAAGATTAATCTGTAGTTCTTTATAACAAGGTAGTCTCAAACCTCAACATGACAATGGATAGACACCCAATTTATACTAATAAGGTCCTTAAACGCATAATGAAACTAGATATATTGTAAAAATAAAGTAAAAGTCTTTAAGTCATCACCAAAATTTGCAACTTAAAATTTGTACAAAAAATAATTCATTTGAAAACATGTGTCTGACCAAAACGTGGAAATGAGCGCTAGACCTCCTACCAGGTTAAAAGGGATTACTCCTTTCGTAATGGGTTCCATTTTTTAAAAACAATTGGTGATAAAAGGGATTACACATTGGTTTATATGCAAGTATCTAGTTTCTTTTTTTACCAATGTGGGATTGAGATTGAGTTCTGCTCTTGGCCTACCATCAACGACTGTTCATCAGATCCAATCCTTTTTCATATCGCTACTCTCGGGACACGCTCACATGACCTGGACCATCAGGAAAACTTTCGATACAAGGCTTCAGGATCAACCATGTTGGACCGAACATTACCGAGGATTGTGCCACCTGCCTCAACCACATCTTTCGGGTTACTTATTCCCTAATTGTATTCAATGTTCTTGTTGTTATTATTATTATTATTATTATTATTATTATTATTATTATTATTATTTGAAGTTCTCATTACACACAATTAAGATAGATATCTTATATGATATCCACTATTGCATTCAATATGGCATAGTTTTTTATCTAGGTCTTGACGATGATATTTCGTCTCTAGTGACATGATATCACATACGATAATGGTGTCATTAGATTTTAGAAAATGCATAACTACCTATTAAATATAATTAAAATACAAATAGTAAGCAAAACTACATATTATTCATTGTTTTATGAACATTAACCTTTTAAATAAAAAAAAGAGGAGAAGGTCGGCGAGTGGTGACTCACATTGTCACATTCCTATTGGCAACATTTTGGCGTAACCAATGAAAGCGGTAAGAAGCACCCATGCCCATTACGTTTGGTGTGAAACGTCACCCCAAGAAATCCAATCTTGGTCCTTGTGGTCCCTTTGCAATTATAATTTATAAATAAACACTCCATTAAATTAAAATCTTAATTGTTTTGAATGAACAAATTGTATGTTCTTTCTTTTAATTTTAGAAAACACATATTTAAAATATTATCTTATAACCCCATACACAAATATAGAATCCGAAAACGGAGGTATTATAAGGTACTTAACTTCTTATATAACGTCTTTAGGTTTTTTAAATGTAATTTCTAAATTATATATATAAATTAGAAATAAGTTGTTTTCATGTAATTTATTGTTCTTGAATCACCCTACACATAGTGGGCCCCCACAAGAAATGACAACTTTTTTTTTTTTTTTTTTTGTAACTATGATTTTAACTTTTCATATTTATATCGCGATTTAAATAATCAATATTATTTTTTAAAAACATTTTTTAAATTGAATATTGTAATTTGTTAACGTCTCGTAGGGGTCGCATAGCTAAACGGTCTAGATCCTTCCACGTCTAATCCAGGAGAATACTTTTCCCGCCTTAACGGCGACGATTTTTCCATAAAACAATTTAATATTATTTTAAAAATATAAAAATATATAGAAAAAAATCATATTTTCCACCGGCATGCTTTTATCTTAATTAATATAAGGACAATGACATATTTATATATTTCTTATCTATTTGGCAGTTACTTTTTAATCATTATAAAAAAAAAACGTATTTATGCATATAAATTAATATGTTTTTATACAAATTAAACATGTACGTAAGAATTGATAAGAATTTCTTTTCTATACATAAAATTCATTAGGAAATTACTAAAAACCCCTTTATTCGCAGAACCCGATTCCTGGATTCCAGGGTCATTTTTGTCAATTACTAGTCGACATTATTTCAGTATTTACGTGAAAAACAAACTTTACTTAATGACACTAGAAATTCATGATCAAAGATCGAGAAGGTACAAAATTTGAAATTTCCGAATAAAATTTCTAGAGAGAGAACGTAGATTTGTTTTGAAAAAGAATATTTTGGCAGATTTTCCATTCATTACATTGATTGATCATTCATAAATCTAAGCGTGGTGTTGAGATTTCCTTGCCTTCTTCATTGTATTTCATCTTTAATTTGAACTCGATCATCATCATCATCATCAACAGCGGATAAATATCTATTTGTTTTTGTTCAGGGTTTTCTGTAATCGATCAAAATCTGATATTACAGTTTCGTTAGTATCTGGATTTGATTGAAAGTTTTTAACTTAATTTTAGGCGTTGATTGGTTTTTGGCGAAGAACACACGGAACAGAGAGAAACACTGTGCAAACAATTTGTTTCTATACGTTTTGTCTTTTGGATAATAGATTTTGGTATGCCGGAAAATCGGCGTGTTCAGAGGAATAATTCTTCCATCTCCAATTCTTCGTTGAATCACAACATTGAAGGTACAAAATGCATTATCCTCGGCTTTAATTTCTACAATTTTACATCATTCGTTAGTAATTTTGCTTAAATTTCAAGCAACAAATGGTCTATATGCTCCGATCATATCCCGATTGCTTCATTTTCGTTTTCGTTTTGTATAACTCTGTTATCGCCCACTGTTTTACTTTAATTTCCCCCAATTTTTCTCTGTTTATACCCTGCATCTTGACTTTTACATCAAATTTTGTAATTTCACTCTTAAACCAAGCAAACGATCGTAAATTCGTTGAATTTGTGTGACTCGGAGGCTTCATTAACTCGAATTATGTGAAATTTCTTTATTTATATCTTGAATTCTGGGATTTTAGAAGCCATAAGGCGATTGAGAATTCACTCAGATGGGAAAGAAGATGAAACTGCTTCAACAGTGTATCCAGATCGACCTGGAGAACCCGATTGTATATATTATTTAAGAACCGGAGCGTGTGGCTATGGTGATAACTGTAGGTTTAATCATCCAACTTACAATGCTCAGGTAAAAAAAAAAAAAAAAAAAACTTGTTTTTTATCATAAATTTATGGAGATTTTCTTTCTGATCTATATTCGATTCTCATTTGTTCATCAATTTACAGATGAATCATCACGGAGGTGACCTCCCAGAAAGAGTTGGAGAGCCAGATTGTGTTGTAAGTTTCTTCATTATCCTACTTTGTTGGATTTTAATTCCATTTGTGTGATTATTTGATTCTTTTAAGGGTAATATGGTAATTTAAAAGTTTTATTCTGTTATGTCGTGTCCTGTTCAGTCCTAATCTTACCAAACGATACGATAAATAATTATGTTCCAAAAGTTACACTTAGGGAGTAAAAATATTAGAAAACCGATTGTTAAGATAAACGTGAAATTACCAAACTACCCTTTTCAGTATTTTTTAAAGACGGGTACTTGCAAATACGGATCGACATGCAAATACAATCACCCCCGTGATAGGCGTGGTTTAGGACCGGTCATGTTAAACATGGTCGGGCTACCAATGCGACAGGTATCATTTTTCTTTTTTCTTTTTAAATTTAATGTATTTAGAAATTTAAATTAAAAAAAATGTGTTTAGGACCAAAAATCATGTTCTCATTATCTACGAACCGGATCATGTAAATTTGGAGTTACGTGCAAGTTCCACCACCCACAACCACCGCTAGAACCAACATCCCATGGCGGCGGTCCACCACCATGGCCATATCCGACCCCCCAAACTTACTTTCCGGTCATGCTGCCGCCCTCTGCCGCCACCCAAGGGTGGAGCCCGGTTGGTCTTCCATTGAGACCCGTAAGTTATAGTAAATTTCAAATTACATTTTTGGTCCCTATGAATAGGTGATTTTCCTAATTTTGATCCCAAAAGGTTTTCATTGCAATTTTGATCCTTATTTGAAATCTTTGTTTTGTTTTTGGTCTCTATTCCAAATAAAATAAATAACTATTTTAATTGTGGTCCTTATCTAAAATTTTTGTAATGTTTTTGGCCAAAAACATTACAAAAACCTCAAAAAGAGTTATTTACAAAAAAATCCCAAACTTTTTTCAAAAGTTTCAGTAAAGTCTTAAAAGTTTTTTTATGAAGAGAAAAGTCTTAATATTTTGAAAAAGTCATATAATCTATCATTTGTTGTTCAAATATAAAAAAAGATTTTTTCGTTAATTTAGGTAAAACATCAAAATATTGAGACTTTTCTGTTAAAAAAAACTTTTAGGACTTTATTGAAACTTTTGAGAAGTTTGAGACTTTTCTATAGACAACCCTAGAGAAAATGTCAAAAACAAGCTATATTTTGGGACCAAAACTGTAAAATACTTGAATTTTTTTAAAAAGCCTTTGAAGTTTGAATTGTGCTGGTGAAGTTGACTATTTGACTTTTTGAATACAGGGTCAACCCGTGTGTTCGTATTATAGTCTGTATGGGATTTGCAAGTACGGGCCGGGTTGTAAATATGATCACCCAGTGATGGTATATTCATACAATTACGCCATCGGGATGAATATGATGACATCATCAGTTCTCCCATACGCAACAAGTAATGGAAAGTTATCTACAAATGATTCTTCTCAATCTCAATCTCATTCTGATTAAAGTTGGAATATCGTTTTGTTATTTGTGTTTTTGTTTTTGTCGGAAAAAAACTATACTTTATCACTATTGTTTATACTTTATACCTTTCGATATAAATTATTTACAATTTGTTGGATTTTATTTCTTTAAAAAACTTGTGGAAGTGAGAGAAGGGTGTCTATTTGGAGCATAGTTTAAGGGGGAATAAATTTTTCTTGTGGTATTTGAGTATGGTGTGTTTGGATTTTTTAGAAAAGATAAAAATAAAATTACAAGTTATGATGAAAACAAAAATAAAAAGGGTTAAAATAGTCATTTTGGTTCTTCACTCCATGTCTTTTTCAAGCCCTAAATACATGGTGCAAGAAATTGATATGAATATGATGAGGGATCCAATGAGATCACCAAACGTAGGGGTTACCCTTGATGATGCTATACCCCATAACTGTGATAATGCCACGTGTCATGATATAAAAAATATGATGTATCAACAATTTGTTTTTGCTACATAGCTCAAAAACTTTTTTCAATAGAAATTAACCAACTTATGTTTTATCTATCTTAAATATTATATAAATATATTTTTTTTTTAGTTTTTAAACATATATCAATGTCTTTATATAAAATATATGAGATGGCTACAATTTTTTTAGTTTTTTAAACATATATCAATATTTAAATAAATAAAAAAAGATAAAATGCTATGTGAGTATAATGTTGTTTAATCTTTGATTTTTTAATGGTGAATTTTCTATAAAATATATTCATTTTTATTTTATATATTTAATTAAATAGATCAACTAATCTAAAACATATAGAAAAACTAATATTCAAATATAGCTAGGATGTAAAATCAATCTCATCTCTAATAGTCAAATGTATTTAATTTTCTTTCCAAATAGTAAAAAGTTTTGAAAAAAAAACTACCCCAGATTAGAAAAATGGTATTTGTTTGCTATTTAAGTCAAATTAACCTTTTAGAGGAATATATATTTTCCATGTTATTATTGGTGTGGGGAGCTGAACTTCAGGAAAAAAAAACCTTTTTCAGAAAAAGTTGGGTGAATTATTTGCATGCCAGAAATGGGTGCAATATAAAAGAGAAAGGATTCTTTATGTTTCCTGAAATATTCTTCATAATTTTCCAAATCCCTCTTATATGTAATATAATTGTGACATTCTGATAATATTCAACAAGAAGTAAAGTAAACAAAAATAATAAAATAAAAAACTCTGGAACATTTATGTACCTTAAGGTATTGAATATTTGCAACTAAGCGCACGTGCTAAAAACAACTGCAATTTGTTAGTCATATTTATACAAAATTGACAAAATTGTAAAAATGATTTATATGGTTTATCATTTTCTTTGGGTAAGGTCCAAAAAATGATTTTATTTAGCGGTTTATTTTGGTTTTGATCCTACCTCGTTAAGTTTAATAACATGACTGTTAATTTTTGATGAATGATAGATTTATCCTTAAGACCATTTCTGCAGTTTTATCTTTTTACCAAACTATAAAGACCAATTATGCAATTTTTCTTTTTTATTTTATTGAATTATTGTATATTAGTTCTTTTGATATTATTTTTTATTGGATTATTATATATTAGTAAATATTAGTTTCAATATATTATATTTATATATTAATAAATATTACTTTTTTTATTATTAATTGTTTTTTGAATTTCTTCTTTATTGCATTAATTATTTTTATTGAATTATTATATATTAATAAATATTATTTTTAACATATAATATTTATCTATTGGTAAGTGTTACTTTTTATTGGATTATTAATTTCATTTAATTATTTTTTTAAATATCTTTATTGTGTTAATTCTTTTTATTTGATTAGTAATTTAAATTTATTATTTTTATTTATAATAAATAATATTTTTTTAATTGTTTTTATTTTCTTTTAATTTCTTTCTTTATTGTTTTAAATAAAAATACCAAAAAATCTCACCCACCCCACCTTTCTTAATTTACTTTATATTTTGAAGATAACATATTTTGGACACCACCAGCAACATCATTCAGTCAAAACAAACCACTATCAACTTAGTGGCAGGTATAAAAGATTCCAACGGATTGTGATGAGGTTGTCTTATGTGGCTATTGGTGGTATTACTTTATGGAATTTATCATGAGTAAGCAACGCTCATAGAATTACTTAATGGAATTTATCACGAGTTATTATGAGACGATAATATCTTATAATGTTTAAACGGAGATATATGAGTTGTGGTTTACAAGTCAGTTGTGCATTGATGATACGTAAACGCATCAGTAACTTGATGTTACAAAACATATTGTTGTGCATGATCTGATGAGTAAATGATGCAAGAATATAATTCAAAGTTTATTTGTTCCTTTTTCCCTAATGGGAAAGTGATATCTTTGGGTCCCTCGGTGATTTGGTGTTGATTTATAGTGTCGGACCCGACAAGGACTAAATTGATGTGTTCGATTAGAAGTTCTACGTCATTATAAATCAGAAATCGAGAAAAAATGTATTAGACAATGATATTGATTGTGTTCCATGTCTCATGTCGAAATGATTGTTAGGCGTGTCAAACCCAACAAATTAATGGGTACAAAATGACTCCAAAAACACTACTACATTGCACTAAAAATGTAATACAAGGTAAGTAGGGTCGATCTATAGAGACACGGAACAATGGCTTATACCTTTTTGCGTAAGCTATAAATGTGGTCACAAGAATGGGGGAGTTTATATGCACTGATTTAAACAAAAGACTAAAGTAATGAGTAAACAATTGATAAACTAAAATAAATTCAAGATTTATAAGTATTCCTACTCTATGCAAGACAAATTAGTAATGTGATTCCATAAATGAAATGAAAATTTTCAAAATCTATCTAAGTTGGTACTTGGAAATGCTAACAAGCTCTGGCACCTCTCATTCACCATATTGATTAACCAAAATAAGCTATTTGATTAATCCTAACCTTACCAATATAATCTAAACAAGCTCTTAGAATTAAATGGAGAGATTGCATTATACTTTATGTGAATATTTCCGACAACATTCAATACTCCTCACAAGCTATGCAGTGTACGAATGTGTGAATTTGATTTACACTAGATTTATTCTAACGAATTCAATTTAGTGCTTGTTACTTGTTCTATTTTACAAAACAATTACGGATTTTGCATAATAGATAACTTGGCTGATTTAACCCTAACTCAAATCGCTAATAAGAACTAGAATTGAAATCCAACTTTCACTTCAAACAAAATCAAATTCATTAGATAGCATTTAGAAACAAACAAGAAATCACATGACTGAAATCACACACAATAGTCAATACATAAAGTTGGAGAGTCTAGAGTTCTAGCCACACATGACTAGAACAAGATTAACAAGTCTAGAAATGAATTTAAAGTACTAAAGTGCTTACAAAGATGAAATTAAAATGTTTCCAAATGATATTCTTCAAGCTACAAAGTAAAAACTTCTTTTAAGAGTTGTCCTTGGTCGTCTGGAGTGAATGAGAGTCTCTTTTTTTTTTTGGCTAAAAATCCCAAAATTAGATCATAAAAGAAAACTGCCCAGAAAGTTATGCGACAGACACGGCCCCGTGTCAAAGTGTGAAGAAATGACACGGCCCCGTGTCACTTAAAAGTTGTAAAATTTTCTAATACACAACCAACGTACGTTGATAAACCATTTGATCAGTGAAGAGTTTGCACATTGTTCCATAAAGATAATGCCTCCATATCTTTAATGCGGATACTACTGCTGTCAACTCCAAATCATGAGTGGGGTAGTTGTTCTCATGCTCTTTCATTGTCGAGAGGCATATGCTATCACTTTATCTATATGGTTCAGAACACAACCTATCCCAACTCCAGATGCATTGCTATAGACTATGAAGTCTTCAAATTCGTTAGGTAAAGAAATAATCGGTGCTTTAGATAACTTCTTATTTAATTTCTTGAATCCTTCTGCATGTTTCTCACTCCATGTATATGTAGCTCCTTTATGGGTCAAAGTTGTTAATGCAACACCTATCGAAGAAAAGCCTTGGATAAACCTTCATTAATGTCCAACTAATTGTAGAAAACTACGAATCTCAGTGGGGCTTTTTGGTCGTTCCCATTTCATTGCAGCTTCAATCTTTGCTGGATCAACCATTATTCCTTCTTGTTTAACTACATGAACCAAGAATTGGACTTCTCAAATCCAAAATCACATTTGGAGAGCTTTTCATAATGCTTCTTCTTCTTTAAAACTTCTAATACTTATCGCAGGTGCTTGCTATGATCCTGGTGTCTCTTTGAGTAAATCAGAATGTCATCTATGAACACTATTACAAATTTATCGAGGAATGGTTTACAAACCTTGTGCATCAAATCCATAAATGTTGCTAGAGCATTGGTTAGTCCAAACGACATAACCAAGAACTCATAGTTTTTCATATCCTATTTTGAATGTGGTATTCTCAATATATTGCTCTTCACATCCAACTGATGATATCCTGACCTAAGATCGATCTTTGAAAAATAGCTCGAACCTTGCAGTTGATCGAACATGTCATCAATCCTTGGAAATGGATACTTGTTTTTCACCTTTGCCTTGTTCATCTCTCACACCATCTTGCTTCACTTCCTCCTCCTCCTCCAAACTTCTTACAACCAAAGTTTGAGAATTTCCTTTTCTTGTTTGTGCTAGAAGATCCCTCAAACTTTCTCTTCTCGCCAACTTCAACCTTGTTGGCGGTTCTGGCTTCGATCATTTCTTCAAAAAAATTAGCATCCCAGATGGCCGCCTCAAGAGTAGGTGGCTAGCATACTAGCTGTCACACCCCCAAACCGAATTGGCGGAAACATTCGGGGGTGGAGGACGTCATGTACAGTGTCACAACAATGCATAATATTAAACAAGCAACAACATCATCCATTACATTAATAGTATAATTCAATACAAGTGTGTTCTGTGTAATTATAATAAGACACCAAAAATGAATAATAAAAAATAAAGACAAGTCTAAAAGTGCTCGGTCTTCTCAAAACCTACAATCGGTACCTATCTACTGATGACTAGAGAATACAAGTTATTTTGAAAGAAAGGAATAACATTAAAGCTGGTGAGTTCATAAGTATTTAATGTCAAATGTTGTATAAGTTTGAAGAAAAGTGTTTGTAAATGTTGTAAATATCTGTAAATGTTTGTAATGAAAGTCTGCTGTAAATGTTTGAATTTCCTAGAAAATCCTATATTTTCTACTAAAATACAGCCTTCTACTAAG